GGACTTGGAAAAAGAACTGGCTTTGTATCTCTTGTTAGAAAGTACCAACAGTCTTTACTCTAAGGCTGCTTTCTTTTTAGAAGGCAGTCAACGCAAACATCACATTCTATTCTTTCTGACATTCAATGAATAACAGAGGCAGAACAACACTTATATCGACTGTCTCCTAAAAGGAAAGCAGTCCAAGTAACTCCAGTGTTCTCGAATGACATATGCAACTTATAAAATCTAAACATGAATCACTTCCTGGGGAAATAAACGATCACACGAGCGTCATTCAATGAAGAAAACGATTTCTTGACATTTCGGAGATCTCAATCGCGACATAATAGTTTTTCATTCGCACGGTGTCCCACTGAAAATATTACTATACCAAAAATCGTCGCGAGACAGAAAAAAACTGATGAATAACGCGAGCTGATTTCGAGACACAAACGAGCCAACGGAGCGGATCAGCGTTAATTACTTCCGTTACATGCAATCGCTTCGTGATCGTTCCAACCTCTGCATCACTGCCTTTCGATCTCTTCGTGTCCGGTGTGACAGGCACGCAAGCAAATAACGTAAATAGTAAAATAAACGATTGGCGACTATTATACGGGAGACACTGCTCGGAGAAAATATAATATATACCAGAAGTGCGTAACGCGTACCGTTGCGAGATCGGAGGGTTAACCGAGACGGTGAGACCGTCACGAGTGACGATTTCCGACGGCGCAGGCACGCGAGAGTGATTCAGGGATCTCAGTATCTCACGCCGCGATCGTTCGAAAACGCTCGGCAATCTCGGCATCGTCGCCGCGCGCGCGCCAACGTCATCCAAGTATCCTCGAGTCTCGGGAGACTTCAAGTGGGAAGTGGGATATCAATTACCGGTTTCGATCTCCGGCCTCCTCGTGCGATCCGGTCCGACCACTTTTTCACGCTTACGTGTCGGCGTCGACCGCTCGCCGCGCGACTCGCTGACTTATGAAAGACGGCACGGCGATTATCTATCATCTGTCCGCTACTATTGCGTGATTGTGAACGCACGAATAGAGACGTCCCGTCCGCTGTGCCACTTATTCTTGACGCGATTCCCTTCCATTGCCGCGCTACTCTGATCTGATCACTCTGATGCTTGACAAGTCGGGTTAGGGAGGGCTGGCTACCGTGCGTTCAACGCCAGGGTGATTTTGGCTAAAACTCCGATTTATTTGGCAGATGATTAATTCGACAGGTGTAATTGCAACATTTCTGGCTGTACATTCCTAATTCCTAATTTAATCTTACCTTCATTCTTACCTTTTATATTCATGTGACTAATAAAAAATTCTGTTTTTTATTATTTACATTTAAATAAAGAATATGTAGATAACGTTCGATCTACACGTCCTTTAGTAGATAAAGAATAATAAAGATAAATACAAAAGTTTTTTCTAAATTGTGAAACAAATGCGTTAAATATTTATAATAATTTTTGTAATAACGTGGATCCAGATACGATGAACGTTAAAGTTACGTTATCCTTTTCTTAATTAATTGTTAAGAAGAAGATAACGTGATCTTATAGTGTTCACCATATCTGGATAAATGCAAAAACTCCCTAATTATAAGGTATGTTTGGGGAGACGCTATATTAGCGCTATTTGTGTCATTCTATCGTCATTGTTTAGATATAAAACAAAGATACGATATAATAATTACGGATATAAATAGCATTTAAGTGCAGACATTGACGCTCATTAAAGATCGCATTATAGATCACTTCATATCAATGTTAAACACATTTTGTCATATTATCTGAGTACTTAATTCATAATGGAACATAAATTTCACGAGATTTATTCTTTCCTTCCTGAAAAAACTCTTTTAATATGACAAAAAGTATGAAATATGATTTAATACATGCATATTTAATATTTATGATATGACATTATAGCGTTATACGCATTATTTCCACGTATAAATTAACTGCGATCTCTCGATAATGATCAATATTAATGTCAATGCTCCAACATTTCAATATTATTTAATGCATTCCATAGAAAAAAAATCATACAAGTTGTAACAATTAATTTGTTATTTTGATATATAATCTTTTTTCGTATTAAGATATTTCGAAATTTCGTTTCCACATTGAACAGAACCGTTGCGTGAAGTTGGCGCTTAAACGTTGATGGTTTCGATACTTCGAGACTCGCAATGTCGTTTCTCGACAAACAATTATTGAGTCGCATCGGTTACGAAACGCACCGCAGAGGGTGGTATTCATAGTTTTATATTTAAGACGATCTTAAGTACAGTTTTTAGAAATCAACGAACCAATCAGAGAACCCTATTAACATATTTTAAGACAGTTAAAATAAGAACCGATTATGAATACCGGCCAGAGTCGCTTCTCTACTTTTCACGCGATTGCTGTCGTCTAAAAGTGAATCTTCCCACGCGCGAAAAATTATTTCGCAAAATGTCGTCTGGGAAAGTCAACTCGAGGTTTGTCGTAATAACGCATCAAATATTGCGTTATACGAGCGCCAGGATCGCGAGTTCGGTGATTTCGCTTCGAGCGTCGATTGACAAGTTTTTATACGTTTCATATCGTTTTCTTATCGAATCGCATTGTAATAGTTGGCGCACAATGTTTCATAGGTATATAAATTCATATGCATAATACGTAATGAATTATTTATTATTGTAATATAGTAATTGATTATTTATTGTTTTATTTATTAGTACAACATAATACTTAGTAATTAATAATAACTATAATAAATAAGTAATAAACAGAATAATACAATATAATAATGATATTAACTATAATATATTAATACAGTAATAAATAATAATAATATTTAGATATTTATAGTGTACATATAGTAATTTATGTATTTCTATAAAGCTGTGTTTTTTTATGGATAAAAAATAAGTGACATCTTGATGTCACGTCCTGTACACAATAGATGTAATCAGTATTTTAGTTTGAAGCAATTGATCAATCACAGTCGAATATGAGAAGAATAATCGACTATAATTGGAATTTTTTTAAAACTTATAAGTGCTTTTCAAGCATTATTTTATCTTTCTTGACATTCGGTGAGTAACAAGATAGAACGATATTTGTTAACGATTTGTTATCAAATGGAAAGTACTCTATATATTATATCTATTGTGTTTCGGGACTAAGATCGGTATTTATAGGCGGTTCTTATTTTAAGATCGTCTTAAAATGCTAATACAGCCCTCTGATTGGCTTATGATATCTTGAGATACTCAAGGCGACTTCAAATATATAAGAATCAACTATAAATACTGGCCTAAGACGTCATAAATTAATTATAAAGCCATATTAGTATCTTAAAGCACTGCTTAAGATGGTCTTAAAATAAAAACCGACTGCTGAATAAAAAGTCGACCAACGTCTGGATCATTTATATCATAGTCGGATATGCGTGATCGACGCCGCAAGATCAACGTTCAAAAATTCCGCGCGCGCGGGCGGCCATTTTCTTCCCCCTCCCGCCAACCGGAATAACAATAGTGACGGACGCACGACGACAGGTGGCGCCGTACGGTTCGCCTCGGTCGCGTTTCAGTAGCATAAAAATTGAATTTTCATCGCGGCCACGAAGGGAAGCCAAGCACGACGCGATTTTATACGATTTATCTTGATTTATCTCAACAAGCTTGATGCATTATGTCGACGTGAATGCGAGACGTTTAATCGAGGTAAACCGAAGCGAAGGGATATCGAAAGCGAAGAAGAATCTCAATTCTTCACTCTAAACTGGCGAGGGAGGAAAGGGGGTGTAGAGAAGGGAAGGGGCCGTAAATCGCATAGGAGACGCGGTACATACGACTATGCGAGCACGTTATTACGAGGCTAAAGCGAGACAGCATGACACATAGATAACCGTCCGTCTTCCTTCTCCCTCTCCCCCTCCTCGCTACTCCGTCGCGCCGACGCCTCCCACCACGAAAATCGCGCACGCAGCATCCTTGCGCGCGAAACACGCGTACGCCGGTGGACGCACGTCGTGTGTCTGTGGCTCGCGTGCTGTACATACCTGTGAATAGTGTATTTTAAGCCTTAGTTTTAACGAAATGATTGTGTGAAGGAAGAAGACGTGTGAGGGAGAGTCGTGAAACGGAGAGCAACGTGAGTGCGACGTCGAGACAGGAGGAAAAGAAAGAGGGAGAGAGAGAGAGAGGGAAAGAGACGGTTGATCGACGGCGGAACGATCCTCGTCTTCGAGAAGCGACCACACGTCGAGGACGAGGTAAACGTTCACCGGGATCCCGAGCTCGCTACGCGAATCCTCGAGAACGAGATCCCAGAGTCTCTAATTTTCTTCTCTCTCTCTCTCTCTCCCTCTTTCGCTCGCTCGCTCGCTTGTTCCGTCCATTTCCTCTGTCCTTCTCTCATATACGATTTGCCTCCCTTTCTCTCGCTCCCTCTCTCCTTTCTCGTGCACGCAGTTCTCGCTTGTTTCATCTTTTCTTCCTTCCTCGATCTGTTCGCGAGTCGTCGTGGTGTTGTCGTCGGTTCGGTCAGTTGGTGCGTGCGTCAGAACCGTCCTCGTCGCTTCAGCCAAGGATCTCGCTCGCTCGAACGTGTACGAGCGAGCGTGTGTGCGAGTGAGCGAGCCCGCGGTCATCGTGCGCGCCCGCCGTTCACGACGGTTTCCTTTGTGTTTTCTCTCTCTTTCCCCCTCCCCTCTCTCTTTCTCTCGCCCCTCTCTCTTTATCTTTCTCTCTCCCTCTCTTTGTCGCTCCATATCCGGCGCACACCAAGCACACACAGTGTTGTCAAAAATCCGGCAGCAGCGCGCCGGAGGTGCACGCAGCTGCCATTGCTGTAACTGTCTGGTTTACGCTCGCAGCTCGGTAAATACGCTCCTACGGTCTCTCTCGGGCTGATATCAGCGTACCGCTCGTCATCATCGCCGTCATCGTTGCCGCTGCCGCCACCACCGTCGCAGCCGCCGCTGCCGCCGCTGTCGTCGCCGCTGTCGCAACCGCAACGGCAATCTCAAGCCTCAACCGCAGCCGCCTCGTCACCGTCACCGTCGTCGCTACCGTCGTCGTCGTCGTAGTCGCCTTCATTGTCCTCGCCGTCGTCTCCTCCTTTTGGTCGTCGTGGAAACGGTTGGTGAGGATGTGCCGCCGTTAACAACCACGCGCCTACGGAACATGTTCGCGCAACGGCCGTAGCAAGCGGCAATCTCCACGGCATCTCGCCAGACGCCGCCGGCTCTCTCCGTGCGAGAGCTAACCTTTACAGAGGCCGAGGGTGCACCTTCCCCTCCAGCACGTTTGGCCGTACCGCCTTCGCCGTGCCCGGGGACAGCGGCGCGGCCTGACACCACGAGGACATGAAGTGGCTCGGCGCGAGCAGCGGAGGCGCCGGAGGCGAACCGGCATCCTCCATGCAGCTGCATCACACCTCCGCCAACGGCCACATACCCACGGTACAACCTCCGCTTATTTTCTCTTTCTCTCTTTTTTTTTTCCTTACCATTTGTCTCCACGCCATTCGCGATCGGCTTCCTCGATACGAGGAATACTCCGATCATGAATCGAGTGTAACTACAATTGCGGCGCACGAGACGCCATAACCTCGATGAGTAGCCCTGCTGAGAATATGAGCATTTGCTAATGTCAGCATGAGTGTTAAAGTGTCGATGGGAACATTGATTCGGTCCTGTACGCTGCGCGAGAGGAATGTGCCGAGTGGCTCAAATACAAAGTGATCGTGTGAAAATAATGTATCTGATATCTTCTCCGAACTAGAAATTCTAGAGGCAGAATGGAGAAAAATTGTTTGTTTCAATATATGTTTAGTTATTAATAACTTTCAAGTTGTAAACAATTGAAAAACAGAGGAGTTAAGTTAACAAGCTAAAGATCTGTTTTTTTTTATTCCTGCACTAGAATGCACTAGAACTTTTTTTTTGCTTTTACCAAATATAAAACGTATATTTGTTTCACTTTAAATATTCCAAAAGTGTATACTAGTTTAGCCACAGAAAACTGACCCTAAATCTTGATTAATCAAATTTAGTTGAATAAAATAAAGATCCAAGTATAAAGACAGTTGAATTGCAGTGACGTTTGATGTGGCTTTAATTTGAATTTTTTTTAAATGTAACGTTTGATAATTTACAAGTTATATGTAAAAATACAAGTGTAACCAAATTTTGCTGAGACAATCACTAATATGAAGTTTAAGATTATAATTGTATGTTATATTTTTAAATTTCATAAATGTGCCATGACATCACTGATCATTGATATGTATAACTTATTAGGATACGGAACAGTGTGGGCAAGTTATGGCTGGTGGCGATAATATGCGAATCCAACCTGGTCAGACTCATCAAATGGGAGTGAGTAGAACTCAAGACGACGCTATGGTTGGTTATGTGTTTCAACGACCTACAGAGCCAGAATTTAACACCCAATCTTCGACTTTCCAAGCAAAGCAAGCTCCAAGAGCTTGGGCATTGGCGGATGACGTTATTGTTGATAATGTATGTATGACAAAATACATATCAGTTTAATATGATATCACGATAATTTTTATTATAATTTTAAAATCTAAATACGTACTTGTTTGTTTCATTACACGTAGTCCTCAGTTTGTTAAATTACATGTAAGATCAGAACTTACAAACTGGTTTGATTATAATTACAGTTTTTATTGTGTAAAAGAATTCATGAGCTCTTTGTTCAATCTTTATTTTCAACGTTTATTTTTAAAATTATTGTTATTGTTTCTATTCTTCAAAAGATAATGCAATATTGCGATTTATTTATTCCTAAATACGATCAAAATTTATATGTTTTGTAAATTTTGTTTCTATCAAAGTGGAATATTTTTTTCTGGACTTGGGCCATCTCTATATTTACAACATTAAAAATTTTCTAAGAACTTTTTATATGAATTTTTTCTAAGAATCTTTGTATATTCGGGATATTAAGTTTGGTAATATATTCCATTTTGATACAAAGTCTGTGAAACATTTTTAATGACATGCAACTTTTATATAGTTGTAAGCTATTTAGCACCCAAATACGTATTTATTTTGTATTTATTCATATCTCTCAAGTGTATATCTAAAGAAGATAATGAAACCTATGCATTTAGTGTTACAATACAGTTGTAATTTGTACATATATATTGCGTTGATTCAATGATATGGTAATACAGTAAGTTATACAATCAAAATAATTTATTTTACAGAATCAAGAAAAATGGAAATATTCTATGACTAAGCTTAGTGTACCTCAACAAAGTCAATCTCAACAATTGGGATTGACTATGAACAATGTACATTTGAGTAATGTACCTTATGAGATACATCCTATGCAATTAAAAGTAAGTAATAAATATCATCGATTATATTTCATATACACGATTGTAAAGTTATTCTAAATGATCATAAATATACTCATACAAATCTTTTACATTTACCTTCTAGAGTGGTGCGCCTGGTGCAGAACATTTGGTCTATTTAAATAATCAGATGACTGCTCAACAACAAGTTGCTCTCTTTCATCACCAACAGCAGCAGCAACAACAATTCAGGAATGGACAGGTAAGTTTTCCATATAATAAAAAATTACATTGAAACCTATTGATTATTACACACAAAACCGCATAACGCGCAATAAAGAAAAATTCAGTAGCTAGTCAACTTCTTGCTTTATGCAAAAACTAATATACACAACATTTAATTATAATTAAACAGAAAATATTTAAAAAAAACTTCTGTTTTTTACAATTAATGTCTAACGTAGATTATGAATAATTGAAGATCCGAAATCGATATCCAATTTCGTTATGAATTTTCTAATTTATATGAAATTATAACATTTTATGATTACATAAAAATCTCATATATAATTAATCTAAATACGTTATATATTTTGTTATATCTTTTTGATTGAAGGAGTTCAATTCAACAATTTCATTTAATAAATGGACCTTGTACTATGGACTTAAATACTGTAGGCTTTTGCTAAAACTATGTCAGGGTTGAAACTCTGACAAATATAAGTGAATTTTTATTTTATCTTTTTTAATGGCCTTTGTTGTTTGCATTTCAAATTTGTAATGAAAATGAAAGATATGTTGAAAAATGTCGCGACAATTTTTTTTACTTTACTCATTAGATCATAAATAATGAATATCAAGTGTAGCATAGCATTTTTTTATATGTTGTTTAATTGTATAATTTTATTATACGTTGTTTTTTTATTATACGTTCACATGTGGATTAACAAGTTTCAGTACCGTATATCAAAATATTTATGATTATGTAGCTATTATGATCTCTCGTCAACAAAATATAAAATTACATGATAATTTGAAATTCATTTGATTGTAGCATAGTGATTTGTCTCTACTTACGTTAACAAAATAGAATTTTAATCGGCGATTTAATTCAACGTTATTATTTGAGATATTCTTAAAAAATTGGGAAAAAGGTCCAATTGTTTAATTAACAAATTTGTCAGATGAACATATTACTCTATTTGACATCAATCGTATTCAATCATGTTATATTTAATATTATTGACATGGATATGTTACGGGTCAATTAGGCTAACTAATGGTCATCGTGTATAACCATGATACTGCAGTTATTTTTCAATAACCAAAGTAATTACGAAATTTTTAAAAAATAATGCATTTCAATGATTATTAAAACATTGAAAACAATGAGCAGTTAAAAAATATTACGTTGTTACATTTACCTCTGTATCGCAAAAGTGATAATATTAAGAAGTTTATAATGTTTAAAAAATTACGTATAATTGAAATAATTATCTTCGTAATATAAAACAATGTCAGACCTCAACAACAATATTGGCTCTCAATCTAAATGCGTTTACGTTTCTTTTCTGTTGAATAATGCGAGGAAAGCGAATCACTTAGCTTATGAATAAATCCTCCGTCATTCCTGATATTACGTGTCTCATATTCTATTTACCATATCGAATTATATTTCACTTCGTATGAAATATAAATTTGCAGCGAGAATAACGTCATCGTTGTATAAATGTGTGAAAAATTATATACAATTCAGAATAGGAAGTGAAGATTACATCAATGTTTTACAGATCTCCACGATTGAATTTAATGCAGTGTAAGATAAACTATTGATGGATTTCTATAAAATTTATATTAGTAACAATTAATACTTTAATGGAATATAAAAGCGGTATTAATTGATCAATAACGTTTGACTTTTTATTTAGACGGTACATTTTTTTGAAAAATGTTTTACCGTATGAATTTGTTTAATTTTTACTTTTTTAAAATTTTAATCAAAATCGAAATAATCTGCACGTAAATTATTTGTGTGCGATAGAAATTAATTGAAGTATATTTATATGTTAATGATATATTATTGTTTATTAATAGCTACTGTACCATTTAAATATCCTACTGTATTAAATGTTCACCAATAGTTTATCTTTCATCATTCTATTCCATAATTCACTGTGAAAAGTGATATAAAACAAAAGAAGAAGGTATTGAAATTTTTAAAAGACTTTTTGAGCTACGCATTTATATCTCCTTTTACATCTCCAATCTATAAATACACTCTCGATTTATTTATGGAGGTGCAAAAATATATGGAGCAATTCTCATCGTTCTTTTTGTCCGCTGTGTTTCTCGAATATAAAATAGACTTACAAGGTGTTGGGATAAAAACATAAAAGAATCATCAATTTATTTTTAGATATTTTTTAAACACAATTCTACCGTTTCTGATCGATCGCGTTTTCGATCTCGGTTCTGCAATGCTGCATGAGATGGTGGATCATGTAAATGTTTTCGCGATTAATCGTACGGCAACGGAAAGCTCTCTCTCTCTCGTCCAAGAGATACCCAGTATTATTTATTATTGGATTTATATCGTTGCGCGACATGCAGTAAGGAGAGCCGCGGAGGTTCCGTTCGCTTCTGCGCCCGCTGGACGAGAGTACGAGACGGCGGCGCGTCCGGCGGATTGGCGGAGCGACCGCCAGGGGCGCCTCGCTCGGGAGCGTCGTTCTTTGTTTCGGTTTCGGAGCGCAGTCTCCGTCCGACGAAGCGCAGAGCCCGGCTGACGAAAATTCGCGGCGCGCGGCAACGAGTGATCGGAGCGAGAGGGACGGAACGACGGGAGCCGATCAAGAGACGCCTGTCCCCAGAGCTCGACCCCCTGGGTAGACGGCGCGTCTCCGCGCGGAAAGGAATGCTCTTGAACGGGACCGCATTGCCGCGACAACAATCGAGTCGCTCCCTCTGTAAATAAGCGGCAACGGCCGAGTATTATTCGCGAGTAGTGTGCAAAGTGTGCGCGAGAGGAGAAAGGAGTGGGTGAGGGAAGAACCGTGGATTAGGCGTCACGGGAGAAGAAGAGAAAAAGGAGAAGGAGGAGGAAGAGGTGGTAGTGGTGGTGGTGGTGGTGGTGGTGATATCGGAAGTGTTGAAGTGACGAAGGGCGCGCGCGTATGACAGCGGGAGTCTCGACGCTTTTCCGCCTTCTTCCTTCCGTCTCCCTTCTTTCGCTGTCTCTTTCTCTCTCCTCGCCGTCTAGTCGCGTCGAGAGAGGTGCGTAAGCGAGGTAGTGATACTGTGACTCTCTCTCTCTCCCCGGTGCGCGTTTGCGCTGCGATTTGCATTGTTTGACCGGTGGTACTACAACATTGCTCGCACGCGACTCCGCTCTGGTCCGCCGTGCGACAGAGGAAGAAAGTAGGAAGGAAGGAAGAAAAGAAAGAGTGAGAGAGAGAAGGGAAGGATCGACGACG